GAAAGTGCCTCTCTCCAGGACTGGTCAGCAGAGAGAAAGACTGTAAGAGCAGGGCAAGGAGCCAACAGCCAGCCCACAGGAAAGGGGGAGGATACAGATCAGTGCTCCTGGCTTAAATCACCTCTAGAGCATCAAGACCATGTATCTCAGCCCAACTCTTTGTCTCAAATATCTCTGCACCCTTTTCTGTCCTCAAAGCTTGGTGCTGCGCTCTCCAATCCTAACATTCTTCAGAATAGATGCTCTGCATGAACAAGAGCCCTGACAACCCAAGATGGATTGAATTAGGGATCTTTTTGATTGTCTCTGGGGCAGCCAAAGCCTCTGGGACCAGGAGATGGGAGACTGGGAATGCAGAACCCTTCATCTCTGGAGAGTAGTAGTACACGAGGCACACTGGGCACAACGTGGCTGATTCACGGAGAGGAGAAAAGTTTGTGCCTGTTGTCTGAAGCAGAGCAGTCAATAATTTGAGCATCACAGGAGCCTTTCTCGTGGTTGTTTGGGTCACCAAAGCAAGTTCTGCTCCCTCCAGCACTTCCAGGAAGAGGCCTGCCCTTTCTTTCTTGCCTCCTTCCCAGAGATGGGCACACAGGAGCATTGCCTGCGCCTCAGCTCTCCCCACACCAGCAGGGAAGGGGTGCTGCTGCTCTGAGCACCCCCTCTCTCTCCCCCTCTCCACATGCTCCCAGCTCCCGCGCAGCGAGTGGGGGCTGTGCTGCCGCTCCCCCCACAGCTCCCAGCGCTGACGTGGCTCTCCCACCCCCGGCCAGGCCCACGGCATGCAGCGGATGCTGCCACAAACTGCTGGGACAGCCCGATAGGAAAGGATGAACATGCTTTTCTTGTCTATGGAGGACAGCAAGATGCTTCCTCTTGCCCCTGCAGTGAGACCCAAAAATCCTGCATCCCACTGTGCTCCACAGTGAGCCATCTCCTCTTGGGTTGCTCTGAATTCATCTCACCTTGTTGACAGCAGCTACGAGCTGCACGGATACACCCTGAATATCCACCCATCAAGCGTATTTTACCACAAGAGCCCCCATTCTCCCTGGTGAGGCTGGGTAAAGAGTGAGGTTTCATATACCAGGGACATCTCCCTACCTCGAGGGAGCCCAGGGGTGACACACACAGGCCACCACCGCCTGCCTAGCAGCATCTCCGCAGTGCCATAGCAACAGCTGAGAAGTAGGGAGGCCCAGATGGCAAACTCCTCCGTCTGTCCTTCCCCACGCACGCACGGTGCCGGCGCACGCAGGCGCTGCCCACGCTGCCAGCGGGGCGAGCCCCCGGCCCGGCGCCCCGGCACCGAGCCCCGTGTGCCAGCCAGCCCCCTGCCAGGCCAGGGCTGGGGACCCGCCGTGACAAACACACCCGGCTGCTCAGCACACGGGGCACAAGGGGTTCTGTGCCACAGGAACGCCGGGATCAGAGTTCTGCCTGTGCATCTTGTCTCGCAAGGAGTAAAGCCCCATGTCACGGGGGTGAGGATGGGTTGGGGGAAGCTTGAGCATCACTAAGTCACAGCTGGCTGGGGACACAGAAAAGTCCACCCAGCTGCACAGGAAAAGTGATGGTATGGACATATCCCAACCCCATGGTGACCTCTCCTGGAATTGGGAGAGGGAAGTACAGAGCATGACTCCAAATTGGAGTTGTGTCAGCCAGGTCCAAGCTGGCTCTGGCTAGACAGGGCTGCTGGCAGCTCTCACAGGGATCTGTGGGCAGGGTCACATATCCAGGGATGCAACCCAAAGTCAGGTAAGTTTCTGGGCATGCTGGAAAAGGGCAGAGGGACATCAGCCAACCCAACCTCCTCCTCATCCATCTCAGTGCAGGACCCTCCTGCCTTTTCTCTGCCTCACTCACTACTGACCTGGCACCACCTGGATTTGCAAGAAGGTTGTGTGTTACTGTCCCCTTCAGCCCAGCCAGGGCAGGAGCCACCCAGCCCTGACTTTTACCAAAAGGAGGATGTGTGGGAAGCCAGAAGCACCAGCAATTGAAGCAAAGGCCATTCCTTTGAAGGGTGCAACAGGAGGCTCGATGGTGGGGTACACAGGGGGTACCCACAGGGCTGGCCTGCCCCACTATCCTCCTGGGGCAGCACTATAGGCTGAGTACCCCCTGTTCTTCTTCTGTTGTCCTTGCCTCATGGGGTCTCACCAGCCACTTCTGAGAAGTGATATAACCCAAAGTTTTGACAGCTCAGCCCCCAGTGCTGGGTTGGGGTGGGCTGACATGGAGGGGTCTTGCCCTCGTTCAGGGGGTTATATGGACAAGCCCTCCAAGCTGTTCATATTGGGTTTTTTTTAGCCAGCTCTCTGAATGGGCTCTGGCAGTCTTTCATCAGCAACACTCAAGCCCTGATTTGGAAGCTGAGCTCTCTTCTGGATGTGAATAAGGCTCTGCCTGGTCGCAGGGTTGTTTTACCACCCCACACTCCATTTGCTTTTTCGCCAGCAACAAGATGGAGCAGCGACCACCACCTTCCCCAGGGCCTGTGGAGAGGTTCCAGCTGGGGCACTGCATCCCTCAGCCCCTGGGACAGGATTGAGCCTCCCCTGCTCTCCCCCAGCCCGGTGGGAGAAGGTGCTTTTGCCCACTGGCTGCCCACAAGCTGCCTAACGAGGCCAAGTCCCCGGTGAGCATGGCAAGCAGGGGGAAAACACTACTCCTTGCCCAGCTGAATCACACTCACATGCCAGGAGTGATTCAGCGATGACCAGGCTGGCTTCTAGGCACCCTCACCCCAACACCCATGATGTCAGGGCTGGCAAGGAGAGGCCTGACATCAGCCTGAAAGGGTGCAGGACCTGATGCCTTCCACACAAGAGCATGAACGTGGTTCGACTCTGGCTCCCAGCAGTGACCCCTTTGCTGGGAAGCATCCCTGCCACATAAATCAACCCTCTGCTCCCATAAGCATCCCCTATAAACCACCACTGCCTTCCCAGTAAGCACAGACCCTTGTGGAAAGTTTTCATTTGTGCTCAGTCTCAGCCCCTGAGAGCATTTTGGGGTTCACCCTAGTCCTGTGCCTCAGCCCTCCCAAGCCCAAAAAGGAAGGCAAGGGTCCAGCAGTGATGCAGGGGGTGAAGAAATGTGCTTTGCTCAGTATGAAGCAGAGAGGCATATGGATTCCAGCAAAAACTGGCACCTTCTTCTCCTTCCCCAACTTAAGAGAAGCTCCTTTCCAAAAAAAATACCCAATATCTGTTTCTGGAGTTGTCCATTTGGTTTTTGTTTTTTTTTTTCCCCACTCCTTTTTACAGACTGCTTATCAGCATTTTTCATTTTCAAAGCAGTAAAGACATTTTCTGGGCACAAAGCACTCGTGTAATACTACCTCTCACAGCAGTTCAGATGTCTGTGCATCTGACAACGCACAGTCACTCACGCTGGTGGCTTCCAAACCCTTCCCAGCCTTTCCTGTGGTTCTCCGGCCCCCAAAGGGTTAAAACTAAACCACAACAAACAGCGAGCACAGGGAAAAAACACGAGTTTCTCCGACTTCCCCAGCATCACCCTCATCCCTCCAGCATCACAGGGAAAACACTCCAGCACCACGACGCAGGATAAATATGGGGCAATTGGAAGGGGAGTGTTGCATTAGCTCACCCCATTTACTTTCCCCATTCCTGCTGTTTTTATGAAGGTTTTCTGGGAAGGGGAAGGCAGGGCTGTGGTGGATTCAGGGTCAGTGACCTGCTGAAAACCTGCTTGGGCATTGCATGGACCTGTAAGCAAGCGGGGAAAGCAGCTCCCGTCATCTTCACCCAGCAAAGGTGATGAGCAGAGCTGCGAGAGAGGCACTGCAATTACTCCATGGCTCTGCTGCAATTGCACTGTGACCAAATAAAACAGCCTCAGGAAGAGACCCAAAGCTCTCTCCCTCCATGCAACCGTGCCATCCATGGGAAAATAAATAAATAAATAACCCTCCATTACTCATTTCAAACCTTGCTGCATTTAACTGCCAGAATAAAGGATTCCACCTCTTCTCTGCTCAACTCCCACTGGCAACTTGCTCTGGGGGCTACATTTCCCTAAATGCTCACATTTCAATTAGCATTAGAATAATGAAATGGCTCAGAGTTCATCTCACCCAAAAATGTACTGGAAAATAAAGAGCAGAGATTGGAAGCAGTGAGGAATTTTTTTTTTCACACACGCACAGAGCACGATGGATTCAGGAGAAGGAAATATATTCCTTTCTCGACTCCACACTGATGAGATTAACATGGGCTTTGCTAACTGCCTCTCCAAACAAGGATAATGCAACTTCAAGTTGATTTTCCAGATAAACAAGCATGCAAACAAACGCAAAGTGCTCAACTAAAAATATCTCTCTGCTCCGATGCTTCTCCCCACAGCCACCACCCCGAACCTAAAACGCACAAATCCTACCGCGGCACCACGACGAGTTACAAAATTATAACAATGTGAATTAAATAAGCTACTTAAGGGACATCTCACTGTCCCATTTTTTTTCCCCTCCTCTTAAAAATGTGAAACCGCAGATCCCCAGATACACTCCGCCAGGGCAGGGAAGGGAGCATCTTCTGATATGGGGATGTAAAAAAATAATGACATTTTAACTGGATACAAAGTCTCAAGAAAGAAAAAACTTGCTTTTCTTGCCCAATTTGGGTAAATATGCAGCGGTGTGTGGCTGTGGCGTCCCCGTTCCCCTTGCAGAAGCAAACAGTTAAAGGAAGCAGCAGCTTTAGCATCTTTGCCTGCTGCTCTCTCTCCTGCTAAGGAATCAGATCTCATTTACTTTATTCCTCTTAAGCCTTGGCCAAACTGTTGCTGGGCTTTTTATGGGGTTTTTTGGGGGGGGATGGAGTAAGGCAAAATCCAGATCTGCATCCTCTGCCCGGGGAGTCGGGCTGAGCCCAGACAGTGCAGCGATGCCGGGGGCACCTGAGCCCCGCACGGGCAGCCCAGCCCGCACCCTGCCGCGGGAGGGGGAGCCCTGGGGGACCCCCACTTACATGGAAGTGATGTTCCTTGAGATGTCCGTGATATTGATGCTTGTGTTGCCATTGCTGCTGCCTGAATCCTGCCCTTCCAAGAGAGGGAAGAGGTTCCCATCATCCGGCTTCTTGCAATTGATGTCTGTCTTGCTGCAAAGACAATTAGCAGGGCAAGCCAGCACCGAAAGCAGATAGTCTCCCCAAATGCTCCAGAGCAAAAATACCCTCCAGAAAGTGCACTTGGTAGGGCAAAGAGAGACATCCATCTCCGATTGCTGCTTCTAAAAAAGAGGAGGAGGAGGAAAGGGGGGATGGAGGGAGGGGAAGGGGGGGAAAGGGGGAAGGAAACAAAGACAGAGGGGAGGAAAAAAAAAAGAAGAAAAAAAAAAAAAAAAGGAAACAAAGACAGAGGGGAGGAAAAAAAAAAGAAGAAAAAAAAAAAAAACAACAACAACAACAAAACCTCAAGCGATCAGCTGCAAAAATCCTCCAGCAGATGAAATCATGCTGGCAGCTGGCTGGGAGAGGCTGTAATTCCCGCTAGGGCAGCGGCCGCGGCCGCGGGCGGGGATGGATGCATGCCGGCCCGGCCGCCCGCCGCTCCCGCAGCCGCTCCGGAGGATCGCAACGGGAGGCTGGGGAGGGAGGGATGGGAGGGGAGGAAGGGAGGGAGAGAAGCAGCCGGGGAAATAAATAAATAACAAAAACGGTGCGAAAGTCACCAAGTCCCACCTACTGGGCAGAATTAAAATTGACACACCTGCAAAAAAAACAGACAGAGGGAGAGGAGGGGGCGATCTCCCCTTCCCATCTCTTCCCTCCCCCGGCCTGGCCAGCCCTGCTGCGGCGGGCACAAAAAAGCAGGGGAGGAGGAGGAGGAGGAGGAAGAGGAGGAGGAAGGCTTGCAAAGAGAACCGGGCTCCGCAATAAAAAGGATTCCCCACCCCCCTCCCTCTCCGCTAAAATCAGTGCAGGAGGAGGGGGGGGAGAGAGGGGAAAAACCCCACTGCTGGAGCCCAGCTCAGCCACGGCAGCGGAGGAAAAGTTGAAGCTGGGGTTAAATTTGTGGTGGGGGAGAGCAGAGGGGCTCTGGCTCGGCTCCTGCTTTCTCAAGCTCTTTTGGAGGACGATGCTGCCTTTCCCTTCGTTGTTGGGTGGGTTTCCCCCCCTCCTCCCCCAACCCGGACATAAGGGTGGAGAGGAAAGGGAGATTAAACTGAACTGGAAGAGAATAAAAGCCAGTGTGGATTACAGCAATTTAAATGTGGGTTTTTTCCTTCTTCTTCGGATCCTAGCGAGAGGCAGATCAGACGGCTGGGTGTGAAAAAAGCGACTGAAGAGCACCCAGGAAGGACTTTCTAGAAAAGATGCACCCCCCCCCCAAGCCCCTAAAAAATGCATTGGGGACCAAAGCGGCTGCCGGGAAGCAGAGGCAGGAGCACCCAGGGTCGGGGTTCCCGTCCTCCCTCCCCTGGCTTCCCCCTTTCCTCCTGCAGCAGATTCTGCAATCAGACATGCAAAAAAAAAAAAAAAAAAAAAAAATCCTGAAAGAGGAAGACTGAAGTGTTGAAAAGGCTGAGCTCAGAGCGCCGAAATGGCATCAGGAGAGCAGTGAGTGCGAGCTGAACAGCAGAGCGAATTAAGATGCATGGTGCATTTTTGGCAAGCACAAACCCAAGCAGATCAGAGCTCTGCTTAATTTGCTCTGCTTTTCCACAGCGCTTTTCTGCATGCCTTTTTTTTTTTTTCTCTCCCCAATAGTTTCATGTCTCTGCTCCTCTGCACAGAGACACAGCAATAAAGGGATGGTGCTGCAGGCAGGAGAACGGGCAATGGGAGGAATTACAGGTGTAGGACTCCACATATTTCAAGGGTCTACTTCTGCCAGGCACAGAGCTTTGCACGAGAGACAGCACTGGCTGAGCCAACACCTTCAAACTCCGTTACACACCCAGAATTATCCTGCTGCAGAAGGGACAACAGAATTTGAAAGGAAAGAGGGAATAAAACTCCACCACACTGAGAGGATTTGCAACTGGGATTCATGCACCCATGGTCATCTGCAGGGAGCCTGTCCCAGTGGGACACGGGCAGGGCTCCTGCTTGGGCAAGTCCTCACCCCCTGCTGCCCAGCCGTGTCAGAAGCCCTGGGAATGGCAGTGATGTGCAAGGGGCTGCTCATTCCAGGGTATCAGTCCTGCTCCCACGGGGTATTCTGGATGCCAGGCAGCTTCACCAGGGTTGCTCCTGCCCGGGCTCCCCAGGGGAAGCAGGTGTATTGGGCTGGAGAAGAAATATTGAGGTGGGAAGGCTGTTTTCTCCCTGAGCCCCACCTCTTCTGAACTACCACAGTGAAACACCTGGAACAAAAGAAGTCACTGAAGTGCCTGGCACTGCAACAAAGAGGAGCACAACGGAGCATTTTGTAGATTCCCACTCCCATGATGAGAAGCATCTCTCATCCAGAGGCACCAGAGAGGAAAACACCCAGGCATATTTTCTGCTCCCTGCCTCAGTTTCCCCACCTGTATCAGAGAGATGCCACTCTTGTGGCTCAGCCCTGTGACCAGACTGCAGAAGACACTGATGGAGGGAACCATGTCATATTTCCCTGCCCATGGGGAACACCAGGCACCCCACAATGCCCAGGCAGCATGTGGGCTCATCCCCCAGCAGCACAGGGATTGAGGATGTCACGCTACCCCCAAAACCAGTGCCCAGGATGACACCAGGGCTTCCTTTACAGTGGGGCTGGTGCAGGGTCACAGACTCTTCGTGGCACTTGACATCAATCACACCATCACCTATAAAACCAGTGTGAGGCCATCGGCACACCCTGACGTGTCACCACAGGATAAGCCATGGGTGGGGATACATTCAGGGAGCACACACCCAACCTTGGGGACCCACTGCAGTCCTGCAACACAGCAAGGCTCTCTTTGGGGCAGATCAGCAGTGGGACCTGGAGGAAGCCACTGTCACCTGGAGGTGCCAGGGTGGCACTGCTAGCCAGGGCTGCACAGAGGAGCACCCTGTCCCCCTGTCCTCCAGGGCGTGGGGTCACCCCTTGGCCTGGAGCAGAGTACAGCTGCTAACAAAGCACAAACACGGTCAGAGAGGTTTTCAGGTCCCCTGCAATCCAGTTACCAGCTTTGCCCTCTGCTTGCAAAGCCATGGTTTGACCCACAGAAAGTTGGGGAGGTCTCAGGTCGGCTGTCCTGGGTGCGGGGGACACAGGAGCCCACCCACCCCCATGACTTTCCCACCCCACTCTGCCACCTGGTGTCAGGCAGGCCCTGCTTCAGCAGCTGATGAGAAGGATTTGTGCCAAGCCACGTCTTCCTCTACCACTAATAGATAAATCTGCTCTCACAGAGGAACATGGCCAGGCGAAGTGGGGAAATGGCACGAGCAGAGCATCCAGCTGGGCGTCTGAGGGCAGGTGGAAGGTAGGCAGGAGAAAGAAACAGAGGAATTGTTCATTCTTGCTGGTGCTGGCTGCCAGAGGGATTGGTGAGTTCACTGGAAGAAGAGACTGCAGTGACAGCAAAGTCCCTGCCACAGAAGGCAGAGGAGCCACCACCAGAGCTGGGTGGCCCCTGGTCTTGCTTCCCCTGCTCAAACCCAGCACCCCTCACCTGTGCATGGACAAAGAAGAGAGCATGCCCAGCAAGAGCAGTGCTGCCATTTGCACACCCAGACCCAAAAGAGTTGGGAGCTGCCCGTGGTGGGAACGCATCATTCCTGCTTCCAACCCTGCCTCCATCCCTCACTCCTGTCCCTGTGGAAGAGGGAGGCAGGAGCAGGGCATGAGTGATGGGGCTGTCAGAGCACAGAGATGGTATCTCGAGCAGAGGCCTCGCCGTTATTGCTGTGAGGGATGCTGGCAAATTGCTCTTTCAAGAAGCATCTCCATGAAGAATGAAATCAGTGCTTCCTGTGAGAACTCTGCCCCACAGGGGCTCAGGGGCTGGGTTTCCTCTGGCCTTTGGGAGCCTCCAGAAAGTCCATGGGATGCATTTGGCCAAAACTAAACACAAGTTCCTCTGCAGAGAGTTCCCCATCTGCCCCATCCCAGCTGCCCTCTGCATGGGGACACAAGTTGCTACCAAACACTCATCCCAGACAAAAGAGCAGGGCTAGGGAATGCCTGAGGAGCTCCTGACCACAGACAGAGGTGAGGGCAGCTGTTTGGTTTTTGGTTCTACTCTTCCCACCTACAGAGCTGCCTTTAACCTCTCACTCTCAGGCTAGCTGTCCCCTGGAGACAATCTCCCCTTGCCACCCCCCATCACAGGTAAAGGCTGCCCAATGCACTGCTTGTCTCCCGAGGCCTGCAAACACCACAGCCCCTGGGGGCATGACCAGAGAGAGATCCGTGGTCCAATATCTGCTCAGTCATCACAAGCTCCGACATCCACTCGAGCCTCTGATCTCCGTATCGATCCAGCAGGTCCGCGCTGAGGCTCGCACCACCCCGCTCCCTCTTACCAGAACACCACTCCTGCTCACTGAAAATGATGAGCTGACATTTTCCTAGCACCCCCCTCACGTCCAGAAGGATCTGCAGATCTGCAGGAGCACTTTGCACACCTCTGACAGGCAGCCAGCCCCGGGCGGGCAGAGCTGCTCGGCAGTGGTGCCGGGCAGAGCGGGGTGTGAGCTCTGACAGGAGGGGCAGGGAAAAGGAGTTAATGCTCTGCCTTGGGAATTCACCTGCAGGTTCGTGTGCCCCTTTGCAGAGACACCCCAAAAGCTACACTTTGGAGAGGGTCCAGCTTGCAGAGTAAACGTCCAGGGGGTAGTGCCAGCTTTCAGAGGAGGATGTCAGGGTTGGTTTGAGGGCACAGCATCCACCATAGCATCACTGAGATGGACTGCAGGAGGAAATTATCAGCCCCTCACCTGAGCTGTGCAGGAACACAGGCATCAAAAGTGTCGCTCCCTGAAGCAGAGCTCCTTGTTCCCACCACCCTGGGAAGCGCTTGGAAGCATCCTTTGATCTGATGTCTGTATTGCTTTTCAAGTGCTTGGCAGGAGGACCTGTGCAGAATAGAAGGTCACATCCTGAACTTGGGTCAGCGTGGCCCTGGGAACCTGCAGGAAGAGCAGCAGGAAGGGGGCCAAGGAAAAGTGTGTGGGACAATCATTTTTGGGAAGTGGCAGCTGTGTGATGAAAGGTGAAGGTCTCAGCTCAGGGACAGCAGCCTGTGGTAGAAGACTCCAAGCTTGAGTTGACCTTGACCATGCTGTGGACATGTAGGGACAAGGGCAGAATGAACCATTCCAGCTGATGTCCTATCCATAAACTCTACAAGGCTGATAACAAAGTGTAGGGAAAAGCATCTGACTTTGAACTCTTTGCTCAAATTATCAGGAATAAAAAAATTAGGAGAAAACATATTCAACTGAGGTCTAAAGAAACAGCCCTGTCACGAAGATAACAAATATTGCTGTGCTTGCATTCAGTGTTGGGACCTGAACCAGTCTCCCACGTAGGCAGCTCCTGAATTAATGTGCCTGGCCAGGGAAAAGGTCTGGTCATGG